TTCCCTAGGGTGTTCACTGTGTTTGCTACTTCAGTATAGTTGCTGGCTGGGCACAAAGCCATTATACTCTCTCTGAACATACCTGAGGGCAGCGCAGTACCGGTGGCTGTGCCACGTATGCCCCCATGTTTTTCAGCTCTCCTCAGGCTGTGGGTGAACCCCCAGGCCCGGCCTGGAGCATCTGTTGGAGATGAGGAGATGGTGGTGAGGAGGCCGGGGAAGGCAGGTGGCAGCAGAGGAGAAAATGGTGGTGTTCGCTCCCAATGATGAGGAGACGGGGCACCAGCTGAGCCACCCTCTAGCTGCGTTAATTTGGCTCCTCTCCGGTGCCAGCAAGGGCTGGGTTTTGGGGGGAAAAGCCCCCTGCAGTGAGGGAAGCCATGTCGGGGAGGGCGGTGAGGTGTTTCCATGGTGACACAAAATGGCCGCCAGCCCTGCCTGGGCCAAGGGGCTGAGGGAAGCGGGGCTGAGGGGTGCTGTGCACGGGACCCGGTGGCACCCAAACACCCGCGGAGGCAGCAGGCACCTGGCACGATACCAGGTAAGCACAACTAGTGGCAAGAAATGTCTCTTTTTGAAACAGTTTTATTTGAAGAGGCTGGGTAGCGCAGGTGAGTGTCTTCGCGAGTGGGTGGGAAGCGGAGGCGAGGCCTGAGGTGCCCCTCTGGAAGGGGAGGACGTGGGGCGGCAGCCCTGGCTCCTCAGCTGTAGTATAAACTCAGGTAGGCCACTCGGTCCTGGTGTTTCCTTAATTCTCTGTCTATGGTCAGCTAAAAGACAACTACTATCTGTTAGATATTAGCAATGACAATTGCTTCAGAAAAGCACAGGAAGATGTGAGATGGTGTCGAGAACCTTAACCTATGTTTTAAATCAGAAAGGTTTTCTTTTCAGCAGAGCTACACAGGGAAGTCTGTGCTCTGGTTCTCTCACTTTGTGGATGGCAACTTCCACAGCAAATTTCTTAATAGAAGTTTTTTTTGAAGGACTAACTGTTTTTGCAAACCAGCATTTTCTGATAGAAAATCCCTTTGTATCTTGTGCCCCAGGCTAGTAGAGCCACATACTCAGCAGGCCAGTGAGCAAAGGATGACAAAACATAGTGCAAATGCCTTGAAGTAATCATATGCTTTCCTTTGTCAGAAGCATTGAGCCAGGAATAACATCCCCTTATCCCTGTCCTTACCTTCTGCACCTCCATTTTTAGCATCCTCTTTGCTGGCATCGGCACTAAAGACCAGTCTGGAGACCCAAACTTCATAGGCCAAGTGATTTTTTTGTGTAATTGCTTGTCTGCTTCATATATTCCAGGTCTAAAGAAAACAGGCACAAAATATCTCATTTCTGGAGCTGGTGTATGATGTTTTACCAGCCCTACTTACCAGCCCTACCTTGACCCATGGGAGAAATGCATGTTGTGGTATTCTAGTCATCATACTAAGTTAAAGACTAAAGCAAGGGAGCTTTTTGAAGATAAAAAAGCTTTACTGGGAACTCAGTTACCTATCTCCCATTTGTGTCTTACTATTTCTCTTTGCTAGTACCCCTGCTTATTATTAAAAGTGAAAGAAAATGAGTTACATTACCCAGGGAAAAATTCTTTGTCTGAAGGCTTATCTGGAAATCGTGGTGTCTTAATGGAAAATGGAGCATAGGCAGGCTGGCATTTTCTCTCTTTGTTCCAGAATGACTGGTACGTTGCTGGGCCAGGAGTCACAGTCTGCAAGAGATAAAATTTCTATATGGAAGATTTTGTTCTGCAAACCGTTCCTACATGCTCTGATCAGCAGCCAGCTGGGCATTACAGACCTGCTGTTCAGTGCATGCTTTGGCTACTCTGATTGATAGCATAAAAAAATGAGAACAAGTCAATTATGCACTCCCTACTCCTTACCCAGTGCGTCCTGTGATGTCTTTCCTAATATATTATTATTCTAGAGAATTTGGGCCAGAAAACAATAGCATGTTTGTTCAGGTAGTATAAGTACAGCTGGGCTTCCTTCCTGATTTTGCCTCAATATGTACATTTGCACATGTGTGTATGTGATATAAAGGAATGTATATATACAAATGCATGTGTCGATGTTGCCAGAGCTCATATGATCACTCATCGGCCTCTAGGCTCAACGCCTCCCACTAGACTATATGCATAAGGAGATCTGTAGCTAATGTATATATTAAGTTGGAGGCAGCCCCAGCAAATGTGATTGAAACTGATAGTCTATGTTGAGAACAGCCTACAAATTCTTGCAAAGTTGCAGCTCTGCTGCTTTGAAGTGCACTTTTCTTACCTGTGGCTCTGGTATGAAACGCTGGGCTGTTCTTGCTCCTATCACATAGCCTTTCTTGCTCAGTGGTTTGTTTTCCAAAGAGTATCTGAGGCTGCTTCTCTGCAATTCAAAAGCAGAAGTGTCTTACTGACATTTTTAAGACAACATTTGCATCAGGGGAGGGGCAGAAGTACATGAGCAGCAGATGTTATGCCTGTTAATTCCTCTAATTTCTCACTGATGTAGAGTGCTAGGGCAGCTGCAGCTTTGAGGACTGGTACGTTTGGAAGGGGAGGGGAATTTCTTTTTTCTTGGTATATGTGGAGACTTTGTACAATGAGTTTGCAGGGCAGGTGTGAGGCACTCCGTGTCCAGCTGGCCATGGTCCCATTGCTCCTGTACTGTGAGTCTTCTGTGAAGGAAAAGCTCTGAGCACGAAAACTGAACAACTTACCTCCTGACTCAGGTGACAGCCTGGCCCAAGCGAAGGGTCTCCCTTGATGGCTGTCATCTGGATTCCTAGCCTGTCTGGGGCGTGGTGGAGAGGGAACATTTTCCGCTCTTGACATGACCCAAATGAGATCTGTTTCTGCACATCTGTGAGACCAGGAGAGGGAAACGCCACCAGTGTGATAAACCCATGCAGAGGTGACCACTTGCTGCTTTTTTTCCTTCTTAAGTGTCTGCTGCTCTCTGCCTGAGGCCAACCATTCCCTTATCTCCCAGATGGGAACGTCCCCTGACCCTGGATATTTGTGAGGGGTCTGCCCTTTGGATGCCTGTTCCCTCCTGCCACAAAGGCTTGTTTTTCCCCAGCCTGAGCAAAGAGTAACCTAGCAGCCTGGTTGTGGGGAAGGTTGCTGGGGAAGCCCAATGCCACCGGGGAGTTTCATGAAAAGGAAAGCCCTTGTGCCCACAGCCCCCTCGGGTGCACGCACCTCGCAGGGCTCACCTCTCGGCTCCCACTCCGCTGCCATTGCAGCCCTGCCAGACGCCAGGATGTGTGTGTACGCCAGTTGCTATAGACACAGAGCAGGGGGTGCTGGAAGGAATGCTGGCAATGGCAGCGCCTGAAGTGTGCAGGGAAAAGAGGAGGATTAATAACATCCCTGTGGATTGTGCTATGCTGGCTCCTACTCTGAGGAGCTGTGGTTTTCACGCTGTAAGTCGGTAGGGGAGAGGTCTCGGGGGAAGCAGCCTATAGGTTGTGCTGTCAGGACCCTTCTCTGTGATCTCTCTTGTGGCGCAGTCTGATCTGACCTGTTGTGTGCTCTCTGTCTTTTTCCCTGTGTCTGGCTGCCATGGTAGGGCAGCAAGAAACCCCTGGAAAATACCATGCTGGAATTAAGTCCTGCTTGTGGATTCAGGCCCTTCCCTGAGCACAAGTGTGAGTATCATGAGAGAATCAGAGAGCATTAAAATATTAAGAGCGAGATGAATTGAAAGAGTGAGGATTGTTGCTTTTGCAGAACACTTTATTTAATCATTCTTATTCCATGCAATTAGATCAGAGGGGTCTGTTTGCTGTAATAGCATTGGTATCTTCATTGCCAGTTGCAGCAGGAGCAGCTGGTGTCAAAGATCAAGCCGTGCGGGCAGCTCTGCACGAAGGTTTTACCATTAGTGCAGTTGTAGAACTTCTTCTGGTTGGCTGGATCTGCATAGATACCGTTGGCCTTGCCAGCACAGAAATGGCTCCCACCAGAGCCACCAGTATTGCTACCTGAGCCCCTGCTCCCAGTTCCACTTCCTTGGTTAGGAGCTTCAGTGATTGGAGGATTGGGCTGAGTCGGAGGCACAGAGTCTAAAACAAAAGCAGGAAAGGGTTTATTTTTGTGTCGACAGTCTCTCAGCCCTTCCCTCCCTCCATACGCCCTTTGGTGGTGGGGTCAGCTATTAAAGGGTGCTCCCCCAGAGGCTGGCCTGGCTCACACCAGGCCTCTGAAACATCTGGACCCAGGTCCAAGATACAATCTCCCTCTTTTGTCTCAGAGGATGTAGACTGAAGGGACCTTTCCAGGGCAATCTCTAGTTGTGGCTTCCACAGAAAGTCTTTATCCACCAAGGCTCCAGAGATAAAGGTTCACAGGTCTCTGAAGCCTTGCATCAGGAGCAAGCTAGGGAGTCACCTTCAAGAAGCACACACCACTCAGGTTACTCACCGCCATTTTGCAGACCAAGACCATTCTTCAGAGTAGTGATCAGGGGATATTTGCCTTCCTTGCAGAAAGTGCCAGTGAAGTCATCCAGAGCAAGGTCCCAAACCATAGCACCTCCAAAATTGTTCTTCTTCAGCCAGTCAACCTGTTCAATGCCAGGAGAGAAATCCCAATTAGTCTGGGGACCTGCTACTGCAGAAGGCCTCCTGCCTTATTATTAGCACAGCCACACATCTCGCCATACCTTGATGTTGAAGCTCTTGACGTTGTCATAGCCAACCCATTCGTTGCCGCTGTAGGCATAGGGCACATCCTGGTGGGCATCCCAAGCCTGGGTGGCTCCAGAGTCCAGGAACGTGCAGATCTAGGAAAAAAGGGGAGAGGGAGAAGTCAGCAAGTGTCCTACAAAAAAGGGCACATGGCATATTCCATGGGTCCATGCGTTAAAAATTCCTTGCTGGGTTTTGAAGAGTGTTTGTGTTCTTGGCAGCCCGGGTGTGTAGGAGCACACATACCTCGTAATAAGCCAAGAATCCAGCCTGCCTTGTGTAAGGTCCAGCTGGCCCAGGTCCTGATGTTGGTGCCCCAACAGCAGTGTCAGATGAGCTTTGGAGGTTGAAGTTATGTCCATAGGTTGGGAATCCAACAAGGAGCTTCTCAGCTGGGGCACCATTGCTCTTCCAGTAGTTCATAGCATAATCCTGTAAAAAAAACACTACAGTTAAAGTCTGTGCCAGGACCTGTAGGCAGGAAGATGACTCCTTAAACTTCTGATCACTGGTATCATGATAATCATCTGCGACACAGGCTCGGAAAATATACTTACGACATTGAAGTAGATGAGGTCACCAGTGTCAGCTGGCCCTTTGTACAGAGGGCTGTTCTCCCCAGTGTGTCCATCCCAGGGGCCGTGGAAGTCGTAAGTCATCACATGGAAGTAGTCCAAGTATCTGTGGGGAACATTGCTTGCATCTATCTCCTGGCCTGCTTGGTCACCCAGACCTGATTGTTCCTTTATGCTGGCTGTTTACCCCACCACATCCCTGGCCATGTCCCCACTTTCTGCAAATCTGGGTTCTTCAGGACTTGTTTTGAGCTGGCCTTGTAAGTGCTGGAGCCACTTCTCCAGAGGAGGGAGGCAGAGGTCAAGGCAGAGTGGGAATTGCACTGGTATTCTGGGAACCAAGAGATGTTCCCTGATGACTTTGAGCAGCCTTTTGTTACACTTTGCTTTCTGAGGTGTCTGTTTTCCCACCAAACAAGCACCACTCTCGTAGCATTCTTGCCTTATGCAAGAGTAGGGACTTCACATGCAATGAGGTTGGTTTCTGCCGAATAATGGCAGAGTTTCCCTTAACCACTTGAAGGAACCACTTAAGTCACAGAAACAATAGCTGAGGGTTTGCTACTCACTTTCCAAGCTCAGGAATCTGGTAGCCAGCCTGAATGGTGGGAAGTCCTGCAGCAACAGCCGCAGTGAGCATGAGACGGGACTTGTTGACCTGTTTGGCTTCCTCCTCAAAAGCTGCCAGTGTTTCCTGAGGGATGCCAAGAAACAGCTCTCACCATGGACTCTCTGGGCTGAAGCTTCACAGCCACAGCTGTGCAGAGCAGAGGGCTTGACCAAAGCCTTTTGTTTCAGCCTACCTTAACCAGGACGGTAAAGAGAGTCTTGTCCTGGGGTGGGCTGCCCCTGGACCCAGGGTATTCCCAGTCAATGTCCAGCCCATCAAATTGATATTGGCGCAGGAATTTGATGACAGACTTGATGAAAGTCTGGCGGTTCTCAGGCGTGGAAACCATTGCGGAGAACCTAGGGAAGCAGAGCAGGACAGAGTTAGAGTTTGGTTGGTGCCTTTCCCCCCCTCTCCCTCCCTTTCCAGGGTGCCGTTACGGGAAGGAGATGGTTTTGATTTACTTGGCTGTCCCAAAATTCCATCCTCCAATCGCCAGGAGGGTCTTCAGTTTTCCATTCCTGCAAAGGGGAGAACAGGAACATATTTCACTCCAAGGAATGGTTTAGTCTTACCAATTTCTAACATTACACAACAGACCAACACAAAGCACAGTGCTCTTGCTTTTCTTGAAAGTGTCTGGTATAGCTGCCTTTGCAGGCCGTGATCTCCTGGTGTGAAACCCAAAGAGCAAGTCCAGAGTGCACCGAGTTGCTGTCACCATCCTCAAAGGACCAGTGCTGGCAGCCTGCCTTGCCCT